TTTAAGAATAATCGCGAGTCCCACAAAATCCCATTTAAAATTTCCGTTAGGGGCTTGACAATAACCATGAAAGGCAAGATTAGATTTGGTAATTTTAAAAAGGTTAGGGACTATTTTTAGTTCAGAAAAATGGTTGAGACAAAGTTTGGTTTTAGGATAAAAGGTTGGGGATTAAATTTGGTATTTACCCTATAATAAATAAAGGACAAAAGTGATGCTTTCAAATTTTATTTTCTCTTAATAATTTATAACTGGTAAACTTTTTTTTTTTCATATATATATATATATATATTTTTAAAAAGGTTTCTCTCTCTCTCTCTCTCTATATATATATATATATATATTTTTAAAAAGGTTTCTTACAATTTTTTTTACATGACACCTGCTCAACAAAATTTTCTATTAATTTCTTTTATACAATCTTATATCAATTTCTTATCAAATACAAAATATTAATAATTTGACAAAATTTCATTACAAAACTAAATAATATTTTATACAATAATTTTTAATTTTTTATACAATAATTTTTCAATCACTTTCTCAATAAAAACATTTTTAATAAAATTGATCTCAAACCCAACAAACACTTAACTTTTTAACTAAATAAATGTATTTTCTTCCTTTCCTCCCCCTTCTCTTCATTTCCCTCGAAAAAATATTCTCCCTTATATTATTCGTTTATTCATTTTAACAACAAACATGAGCTAATTGACAGGTGCTGTAGAACCTCCATGTTGTACCTACCGTGGGAACTTCCCATTGACCACGCTATGTTGAAAGATACATCTCTTCAGCTCGGGCTGGACTTCCCAACCAACTACGTGGTTTTTATTGGGCATATCGCGTGTGGTTTATACTCTATACCCAATTCTTTTTTTATTCAAAATCGTTATATTTTATTTTCTTAAAACAAAAAAATATTTTATAATTAAAATTATATTAAATTGTAAAATATAAACTGTTAAAACTTAAGATTGATAGTTATATTGGAAATATAAAAACTCTAAAACAAAAAATAATAAAATTTAAAATTTTTAACTTAAATGATTTCAAAAGAGTTTATGGTGTTTATTTTGAAAATTAACTTACTGTCTTGAATAGATGAACATGCGGTTATAAATATTGGATTAGATTTATTTCTTAATGCCTAAATACATACAAAGCAGACAACATTTTAAAACCTAAAATGGATTAGAGAGATTCTTAAGAGGATAATTGGTTAAATAATCAACCAATAATAATAGCAAACCTAGCAAGGTTTTCATTCATGTACTTCGGAAATCCTCAGCTTTGATTTAGGTTCTCTTAATTTGATTTTTACATGAAATTTGATTAAATTATTTTATATTGCAATAAATGACAATTGAAATATTTTTTTCTTTTTATAAATAGTTCTTATTGAATATTTTCATTTTAATTAAAAAAATATTCAATTTTCATTTTTTTGTTACATAAAATCATCAAGTTAGCTCCATTTAATATGATTGTGGTTTTTTATTTTAGTTTTTATAAATTTTAAAATTTTAAATAGAAAACCCACATTACTAGAAAACAAGGTTTAATTGATAGAAATTTCTGTGGATTATAAGGGAAATTATGTCAATTATAAGTATAATCAACAATCAATCTCGTTGTATAAATAAGGGTCAAAAAATCGACAGAAATAATTTTGAGAATAATTGAAAAATAAGAACAATATTCAAATATTATGATATGAGACTAATAGAAAAACAAGATAAATGACAAGTAATTTACCTATAATGTCTATAAAAAGAAAAATAAAAAGTATTGTTATACATTATAAGATTTTATTCAAATAAAAAGAAATGAAAAATATAAATCAAAATGTGAATTTACCTCATAAAATAATTTTAAACTTAATAATCTACAAAAATAAAAGTAAAAAATTATTAGTAGATAAAACAAAAATAATTGAATGATAAATGAAAATAACGAAAAAATAAATAAATAAAGAAAATAAAAACCTTCAGATGAAAGAATGAAAGAAAATGAAGGAAAAGTAGAAAGATGACAACCAAAAATGAAAATAGGAAAGGTAGAAAGAGTTGAGTGATGAAAAAAAAGTAGAAACAAGAGGGACAGATGAAGACATGCAATGCAAGAATTAGAAAGGTAGAAGGAAAGGGAGAAGCTGAAAGTAGAAAGAAAAATTAAAATGAAAGGGAGAAGAAGAAGAAAATAAGAATAGAGGGAGAAGGGAAATAGGGTGAAACATAGGTGGGAAAGGAAGGAGGAGGGGAGAGGTAGGAGAAGATGAGAAGATATTTGCTGATTATGTTTCTGTGTCCATTTTTTTTGAACAGCCAAAAGTAATATTAATTTAAAAACGGAGTACAAGGGGTATCCAAAACCCATTAACATCCCAACTAGAAAGGCATAAGTTTACATCCGTATGGTGTCGACACCAAAATTGTGTGTCAACACCACGTCCGTGTCGGAATTCTAAGTGCTCACCATATAGTATCGACACCAAATTTATGTGTCGACACCACACCCGTGTCGGGTTTTCTGCCCTCTTTTGCAATATCTCACTGTTTTGATCATCAAACCCACTGGCACAGGAAACCCTTATTGTTTAAAAAACACCTTCATCTACTGCAGACATCATATCATCTCACCTTGCTCAAGTTCTATCAATCTTACTTTTGGAACTTTTACTACTTGGCATCTACTTGGAGCATTGCACTAGTCCGCAAAAGAGTATGTCCAGCCTTCAATTTTGCTTTTTATCCAACAGTATGAGTTGTATTGTACCATGTGGAACACTTCGTCAGTGGGCACTTGCTTTGCCTCAAAAATTCTACGGTTCCGAGTTGACCATAAGGCCCAGATTGTAGCATACCATATCACCTGCCACCCTTTTTGGTTTCTACCCACCCAGCTATGTTGGAGAAAAGCATCCTTACAACTCTTGGCCATGACATACTTGATTTCCCACCATGCGAGATTTTTGTTCCAAAATTTTCCTGAAAAATCACACCACAGTAGTAGGTGGTCCTCATTTTCTGCTATTTCTGCACAGAAACTGCACTTAGCATCTGCTTCTTGTCTAATGATATTCCTCTTCAGGAGGTTTACCTTGCAGGGTGTACGTCCAAGCACTGACAGCCAACTAAAAGCACAGATTTTCAATGGGATTGTCGAGTTCTAGCATCTCTTAAGACATTTGATTTCATCCCCTTCTTTTGTTGTTGTTAGCATCTTGTATGGTGATTTTACTGTGTATTCACCGTCTTTTTCATATCTCCACCACCATCTATCGTCGGCGTCTTTTCGAATTTGCACATTTTGTATGGTGCTCCGAAGTTGTGTTTCTTGGTCCTGTTCCCTTGTTGATAATCTTCTCCTCCATTTTAATCTCCATCTCCATGAACCACCTATCCATTCTCCCATTTGCTGTACCGTGCTTTGTATAGATAAAATATATTCCACAAAAATTTTGTTAATTATATTTTAAAATGGCTGTCAATTATGTTTCAAATTAGATTAACCACAAAATTTAACCTTTTTTGGGTGGAGATGACGGTGTGGATATAATCAACAACCAATTCTATCAATATCAATTATAGGGGTATAATTAGTAGTCATAGTGGTTGTCGATTATGTCAAAATTTTATAGATATATATTAATATTTAATTTTCCACTAGTAGTATCTATAAATATTATATGTCTCATAAATTGTAAATTTAGTAATAAAAATTTAACACTATCAA